GACTGAGCTTTGTCTGGCGTGATTGGATCTGCGGTCGTGAGGAACACTCGGTGTAGATCGCAGGGTCGGTGTTTGAACAGTACTGTCTACGCAACATTGCTCGAAGCGGATGGAACAATTGGGCAAGCAATGCTGAGGTAAGGTGCACAGTTTTAGGAAGCCACTGCCGCTCATTGGAGCAAATGGTGGACCTCCATAGGTCACGTTCGTTAGGGCATGCGTTACGCATGTCAACAAATAGGTTGCCTGAGGTCTACTGAGGCAGGTAGTGGGTAGAAAATAGTCGATGGTAGTCAAAATAAGACCTGGTACGAGGGTGTGAAAACCTGAACATGGAGACTCAGTCATACAGGTTGCGTTAGGACCGCTCGATGGGGACCTCAGGATCACTGTAATCAATAGTTAGAGACATCGAGTGTCATAAACAGTGGTGTCCGTGCATCTTCACAATGTCTTGGCAACCTTAGTTCAGTGAAATTCTCCATTTTCTCTTCGAACCTACTTTCAAGTTTCCTGTCCTTCTCCAATTGCTCCATGGAAACAGGCGACCAAAGGACAACAACCAAAACCGGTGCACCAAAGTGCATGGTTAATGGTTGTACAAACTGAAACCGTAATGACTAGCGGTATTCATTAGTGCAACTATTCACTTCCTACATGGATTCAGGTAACTGGTTTTTCGTATTTTTTTTGAGATAGTAAACGGCTTCTAATCCACCGATTTAGCTCATTTACGGACAGAATGGGTAATCGGATTACTGCAATCAGGACTATCACACGACAGCGCAGGATTAATGCCTTTGAGAACCAAAACGTTGGCTCAGCGGTCAGATGTTTTCTGTTGTCCTTTATAAATTGACAACCTTATATCGTTTACAGTGAAGTTCCTGAAAATAGATCTTTTGGTTTAACCAAATGGAGCAAATGAGTTATCTGGTTACCAGTGAGAATATAAATGCGTTACGTTCGTGATGAGGTTGGTAAACTATGCGCCAGTGATCAGTGTACTAATTTATAATATCGCACTGACCACGTTACCGTTTTAGCCATCGGCAGCGGCATCCCATATTCATTCTCGACATGCCTCCGAAAACCAAAGGAAAAAAACAAAGTGGGACAAAAACCAAAAAGACCGCGGAAAAACTGACACCGAATGAACTTTTGTTAGACTACAAAATCGGTTTGGCTCGATCCAACCTGATGGAGTTGGAGTTCAAAAGAACAAAGCTGTTAGAGCAGATAGAGAACAAGGAATCCGAACTGCGCGAACTGAGCAAACGAAGTGAGATGGAAATGAAAGAGACTATGGACAAGTGGAAAGAATTCAAGAAATCGGCAAAAGATGAGATAACCAGTGCACAGGTGATCGACTGTATGCACTCAAACTGGAAAGTAAAAGACGAGGAACAAAAAGCTATTCACAGCATCCAAGAACAGATTAGACAAGTTCGAGCGAATATCGAAGAGACACGTCGGGAAGTAGAACGTTGGAAGTATTTTGAAGCAAAAACAATGCCTTCGAATGCCGAGTTTATCGTGATACTCAGACAAGAAATCGACTCCATGAAAGACAGATACGACTCATTTGTGGAGAATATTAAACAAGCGTTTGCCGAGAAAAAGTCAGACTATTTTGACACATTTCGATCCAAATTGGAAACCATACGCAAAGCTTCCGTGGACGCAGCAGTTGGTAAATTGGATAACCAACATTGGACTCAGTTGGAACAAGAAGAGTGGTTTAGAAAAGAATTATTCATACTGAAGCAGCGAGAGCAAGAATTGTCCAAAAGGATCGAAGAGATTGAGAACATGAATATTATGATCTGTGATCGATTAGCTCAGTCACGACTCAATCCGATGCTGTGGCCGGCGCGAGTGCCCCAAAATTTCCCTCAGAAAACAGATAATCTATATTACAGTCACGTTTTGGATTTAGATGTTTCGGGGTATTTTAAAAACTTGCAGCTCAGTTCACATCAATCGCTGGTGGACGAAGTGAACCTGGGGAACGTGAAAACTCAGATCAGCACCGAGCAAGAAGGTAAGTTGAAAGTTTCTGTTAATCACATAAAATAAAAAAATACAGGTCCCACAATGGAACTGCAAATGTGTGAATACCAACAGTCTGTCAAAGACAGTTTTCTATCGGAAAATATGAGTGCGCTACTCAGTGACCTGACAGATTCGGATCGATGGAACAGGATGATGGCTGTGGGAAATGAAGAGGTCCAATTGTTGAACATTCGAGGAGTTTCTCCTCGCCCAAATTCATCAGCAACAGAGACATGACCTATTACAGAGCAAGGAAAGTTGGGCAATATCGGATGAGCTACCATCACTACCATCACTTGTACATAAATTGATTTTTACGTGAATTTTTGGAATGAAGAAAAGTTCATCTATTTCCGCCTAATCAATAGCATCACATATTTTCCATGATGACTGAGATACTATTTCTTCTTTGCTTATATTAACTATTGTGTAAACCCTTTTGATAAATTTAAGCATTAAAGCATTGCAGTTATTATCATACACGTTCGTGGTGAACAACTGAGTTCAAACCTACTCATCCGCAGGATAGGGATAGAGAAAGGAACACCAAATTGATGTCTAGCCAAGAGAAGGGCCCCAGTTTACTGAATAAGTGGCCTAGGACTAACGACAGCGCTCGAGGATGTGATGGATGTTCGCTTGGTGAGCGTCCTCTTTAGTAAACGCTAAAATTCTCACTAACTTACAGCCCACACGCCAATCACCAGTTGTCCAACTCCACCTACTCAGCAAGGTTACCCAGAACAGATCCACAAGTTGACGACCAACTAATCTGGAAACGCTCGGTTGACTGCCGGACTGTCTTGGATCTGCAAAAGCTACAGATGCAATCTCGAGCAGGCGGCCGAATGATGGTCACATCACAACTTTTAGTCCCATTCCTGAGAATCTGTGTGGAGTTGACTCATCATCTAGCAGTAAAGTTGGATGGTAAGATGATGATGGTTTGGAGGAAAAATCAATCCATTTCTGGGATATAGAACAATGAATAAAATCAGGTGGAGCGAAGGAAAGCGGTGTGCAGTGAAAAATGGGTAGCAGTAGTTGAGGTGAAAATTGCAATTTAAGGACACTGTATAATGTAATTTCGGCATGAAACTAGTCGGTGGAATCTCTGAGTATTCTGATGATATATGTATCATAATAACTAGTATACAACTGACCAGACGAAATTCCCCTGGAAGCACACAACCGGTTTCGCAGTTCTTGCCACTCGTCAGGCACATATATATATATATATCGTGAGACGCTGAAAACGAGCTTGTTAGAGCGGTGGTGGTATTGTCACCCGGAGGGGGGGCATGTGTTCGAATCCCACCACCACAACTACCACCTAACATTCCCTATTATGTGTGCTGTATGGCAGCCCTTTGATTGGCCACTTCCCCCTTCGTGAAAACGGCATCTTCGTATATTCAATAGAAGTGAAAATGAAACTCTGTTGGACAATCTGGAGATATGCATGAAAATTGTTTTTCATATCAAGTGTGTCCTCACGAATTCTATTGTGGGATTCGAGAATCACAGCGGGGGAGTTTGCCAACTGAAGAGAAAACGTGTAGTTGAGTTGATCCAAATTACTCCGCAGAATTCTCGGTCAGTCAGTCATGCGATTCCAGTCCTTTTTATTCACTCGCCGTGCGTTTCCAAGCACAAAACGTTACACAAAACAACACAACTTTGGTGGTAAGTAGATTCTGTGACGTCCAATTTCACAGAACCACAACTACGCTATGCAATATTCCAGATTTCCTTAATCGAAAAACAGGTCCACGTGACTATGGGATTCACACTCCAATCTGCATCGCACACAAAATTGTGTATTGAGAAAACGATTATCTGCCCGTGTGTGTGTGCGGTGACTTGTACGGGATAGGATTCGCTTGTGAACCAGTGAACTAGGTCAAAGTTTGACAATTGAATTAACAATTTAGATCGATGATCGATACACTAGCGGTTTACAGAAGCTTTCTTGTTTGTCAGTGGATTGAAGCGGTAAATTTTTGTCTGAATAATAGCATCCTTATAGTGTATAGAGTACAAAGTGAACTGAAAAGCTAAGAAAGACTGCGTACCTGTATCGATCTGGTTGGGTCTGAGTATCAGTGAGCGAATCTATCAACCTAATTGGGGATCGAACCTAGGATCTCTGGGTGTCATGGGAAATCTATCTTGTCCAATGTGTAAAGACGCGAGGAGATAGGCAGACTAAATGTTTGCTACTTGGGGCAGGTCAGGCATTCCTATCAACGACGAAACCATGTCATACATTACAGTCGCGGGGTGGGGGAATGGACCCTGTGTGTGAACTTCGTCCAGGGTTCTCTTTTAAGAGAAGCTTGTAGAATCAGTAAGAAAACATTTCTTAATCGAATTTCACGAAGTAGTTGAAAAGATATGATAATTTAGAACAGAAATAATCAGTTTATTTGCCAAATCAAATGTACAGAACCCATCTTATTAGAAAACAAACCCTAGATCAGGTAATTTTGATCTTTGTGTCTTAGGGAGGGGGGTGAGGGACAGCAACCGACCGAGAAGAACGTGGAGGGGGGGATCGGGCAGGGATAAGTAGAAACAAAACAAAAGGAGCGAGAGAGAGAGTGGGGAGCATTGCATCTGCCAGGAACATGATCTAGCGTATCTCCGAGATCTGTTCACATGAAAAATATCTATTCACAGAGGCCACTTTATATTGGGGGGCCAGGGAGGGGGGGGGCAAGGTATACAAGTCAAAATAACTCATCAGTGAGTGAAGTGAATCATAACAGTCACATTCTCAAAAAGAGGGGCGAGAGGACAAGCTGCTGACGAAGATGTCAGCTGGGACGCAAGGTGCTCAGTCTGTGGGTTTTGAGGCAAGCGGGAGTGCAGAAGTTGTATTCCATATAGGTGAACGGAACCTTGCCGCTGATGTCACATCCACATTGGAAACAACGACTGGAAAACAGAGAGAACAGAGATTATTAAAGTGGGTTGAGGGGGAGGCGATGTGAGACTGAGGTCCAGATTAAACAGTACTAACTTTGTATGGCAAGATACTCGAGCGCTACGAGGCGGTATGTGAATAGACACTACATTGTGTGTAATAATTACCAATGGGTACTCGAGTCGAAATTATGGGGAACTTCAATCGCTAACACATGATGATAACGATAACGGTGACATCGGGTGTAGCTTTTGCGGACATGCTGGTCAAAGAAGTTCATTGGAGAATGAAAGCGTTTACTGCGAACAATATTTTGCGGATTAGATGCTGCCAACCGTGAATAAATTTGGCTGAATGAAATACTAATGTGATAAATAGTATGTTAATGTTTGGGTAAGTTTTCCCTGAAGACAGACACAGGACCTGGACACAAAACAAGTACGCATTACTGTTGATCACTGGAACGAAATTAAAATGCTTCAAACACCGAAGCGGACAGATGTTGACAAAGTCGATGGAAATTTAATTGCACAATGCGGGATAGCGGATGCGTTTTGTGTCTCAATACGTTTGACATGGGATCAAGAATACGGACACACATTCACAGTACGCTCGAAATGAGTTTATCCGGATTGGCATAGCCCAATCAAGTGTATACCTGACTGCATTTCGATGGCCGGCGTCATGCGCTGTTCACGATGTTTTCGAAGGACCATTGTCTGTACAGGTGACTTAGAGTGATTAAAGCTGAAGGAGCTAGAAATCCATGTGTCCTAGTCCTGAGGTGGAAACACATATTTATCATAATATTATTACCTAACTGAGTCAAACATTTAGATGCTACACACTATTCGGAGGGAGTAGAGGAGAAAAACAATCGCAAAAGGAATGTGATTACAAGAATATGATGACAGCTTTGGCTCGAGTCGAGACTGGAACACCTTCGGCAAAGACATGAAATTTCAATAAAGTTGAGAGGCTGTGCCTATTGTGCCCCAGTGCGATCAGTCCTACTTTACGATTCAAACTTGCAGTTTCCCTAGTCGACTGGAGAGTTGACCATCTAGATAGCTCGGGGGGTTGGTAGGATGAAGTGAATGGGTTAGCAACACCGAGCTAAGCTGTCATGTGTTCGGCATTGTAACGATGGCACACCGAACTCCGATGAGTTGGTTTTGCTCGTCCGGATGACTAAAGGTTGACTACTGAAAAGCGCCCTAATTGCAGCGACCAATCCAGGATTTATCAGGAATTCAACAGATATTGGGGAGACGAGACAGGAAGAATTGCACGCAGAGATCGATTGGAGTAAGCGTTCCACGTCTCGTCCCGTCCCCCCCCCCTTGAATGAGGCCCAAAATACGCTGTCACTGGTGGATTAGGAACAATGAAGTGGATGAAGGCGAACCGAAGGTAGCTGCCGGATTGCTCGACGGAGTTTGTATTCACATGCAATCGATTTTTTTTCAAAAAAAAAATAGATGAATGAACATTTGTTTTTACCCGCTCTCGCAAAACAGCCACTTCCTCCAAACTGAACACATTCGTGTCTAATTTGCACACAAACAAACAAGCAAACAAACAGCGAAGTTCACGTAACTGTGTTTCACTGTACACCGATGCTAACACACTGCTGTTTTCACCGCCACCACCACCAAGAGCAGCAGCAGCAGGAACAGCAAAANCGGATACGAGATTTGAGATGAGCTAGGCATCAATGACAAGGGAAAAGAATGAACAATGACCAGTCAGACCATACTATACGAATAGAAATAGATCAAGCTCACCTGAAGACCTGTGATTTAGTAGCTGCACTGGACGATTGCGCGGCAAGCAACCGCCGTTCCGCTAATAGAGCGCGCTGAAATTAAAATAGAAAAAAACAACCCCGGGTATTACACATACGTATTGTATTTAATTTAACGGCATTCTAACTAGACAAAGAAAATAAGTCGCGATATTCTTGTACACACTTTGGAAAGCATTGTAGGGAGCAACACAACACCATCTATTACAGAGACCTCGGGCAGTATCACGAAGGCACAGCACAAATTTATCTCTCTTTCTTTCTTTCTTCAGAAACTACAAAAATATCCATAATAGATGACCGAATCATAAACTCCCAAACAATAAAGTGAGCACAACCCATCTTTGCAAGCTTGTTGTGGGTCACAGACCCTGCTCATCTCAGCAATAGCCTCAGCAACGATCTGATCAGCTGCCCGGTAGCCGAGTAGATAGCATGCTTACGTTCTGCCCATGAAGTCCCGGGTTCGATCCCCAGTCGAGTCGATGGATTCGCACTGCTAATGAGACCCAACCAGGTCGGAACAGCTGTCCAGTACTTCCTAGCTTTTCAGTTCACGCTTCGTTTGCTATAAACATACGACGAATTCCCCTTAGAAAATGAATCAAATCCTCCATGAGTCACATGAATACAGTCAGCCTCAGATATCCCGGAGACTATGATCACAATCACAAGGGANACGATGGTCGGCGTGACAGAATCAAAAGCCACATTGACAACTTGTGCTTGCGACTCCGGTTTCCGTTTGATAACAAATATAAATTGCATGACTGACAGGCAGACAGACATTAGCTCCTGTATTCTGCGGGAACATGATAAATCAAAACCTAACCCTGACGGACAAACAATTCACGGTCAAATGATC